GAGCCGAACCAATCTGATTTTAATAATGCTGAAAATAATAGTCTGCCCCTATCTTGAATAGTAGTATCTGTTACGTTGACTTAGAACGCATATTTCAAAGCTTCAACATGGTCAAGAATATGAGTATACTTAGATATCCTTTTAGATATATTAATATAAAATAATTTATTTTGTTTTAATTACCAACTTAACTTTTTGGATTTAATCGACATTTTACATGCTATCAAAACTTGTAATTATGTAGTTATTATGAGTTCCAACCTTACCGCTTCAGTTTACAAATAAAATTAAAAAATCAAATTAAAATCAGTACGAGATAAATTAAAAAATAGATTTGTGCATTATATACTCGGAAGCATCGATGCATGATTTCTTAAGAAAAATACTATTGGCATACCGTAATATTTTGAAACATGTTGACTATTTTGACACGTGAACCGACCGACCGTGTCTAACACGATCAAGTGAAAAAATTGTAAATTTTTGAAATTTTTATAAAATTAAATAATTATAAAAAAAAACAGACAACCTCCAACTCATCGCACCATCTTCTGCAATGATCACGAAGCTAATCTTCCCATCTGATTCAAGGTTCGCTTCCTTCGATCATCATCCTTGCTGATTTTATTCTTCTTATTGTGAGTAACTTCAGTTTTGAGAAGGTACTCTATGACTCATAGTAGAACTCAATCGAAAAAAGAAAGAAGATTGAATCTCATCCCATCCCTTCATGCGAACGCTTTTCTTCTCTCTCTTTTTCTCTGTGAATCGATCAATTTGATAGAAAATACAAATGAAAAATCTCAAGCGCTACCAGAGTCGGTTCCAACGTTGAAGAAACGAAAGCAAATAGATTCAACCCCCCATTTCCTATTTGACCATTTTGCCCTTATCTTTTTATTTTTGATTTATTGAATTATCGTTAACGTGCATCACACGCACATCCAACTCATTAAAATTAATTGAATAAATTACTGAATATGTTTATTAAATTTGTATAGACATCTTGGATTTTTTTAGAATGAAATTGGTATTTTAATTTGTTAATTTAAAGAATGAAGTTATTATTTACTCCAAAGTTGTTTTGTTTTCAATTGTATTTCTAAGATTGTTGACCTTTTTCATGTGAAAGTTTCAAAATTTAAATGGCCTGCAATATATATTAAATATAAATTATATGAGACATGTTATATTTACAATTTATTTTTATAAACTCTTACAAACTACACTATCTTCTCCGGGAGAACACTAGGTTTCACTATATTCTCTAGGGAGAAGATGGTGTAATGTGTAAGAGTTTGCAAACAAAAGTTTGTAAAACGGATCCTTTCCAAAATTATATTATACATATTAAAAAATTATTTAATATCAAAATATATCTTAATGTATCAAAATTTAATATTTTTTAAAATTAACGTATCGGAATGTCGTATCATGTCATGTCCTGTATTCCGTGCCGGTGTCAATGCAATATAGATTGTCCATACTTCAAACCCAAAGATTCTTACATGAAGATATCTGTTAATGATATTAATGTAAAAACTATGGGAAAAGTGTCTATCATTTAAAATTACACAACTTACATCCTTTCACTCTCACAAAGAGGTGGGACCCACACCTTTATTTTTTTTTGTCAACTCTCTCTCCTCCTTTATCTATCTCTTTCTCTCTCTTAAAATGACACAACTTTACATCCTTTAAAATTATACACACTTTTCCCAAAAACTATTAATGTGATCTCAGTTATCATTTTAAGTTGTTTGGTTGAATTGATTGTTTAAATAGTACAATAAATTAACATCAGCATGAAGTAAACTAAAAAAATGGATTTTTGCATAATGCATACTTCAAGCGCAAAAACTCTTGGATGAAAATGTGTGTTAGAGATATTGATATAAAAACCAATAACATTGTGTTATATTCTATCTTAAACTTTTAATTAGTTGAATATTGATGTTTTACATACTGGATCACGTCTTATTTTTAGTTTATCTGTTCGTCAAAAAAATAAAAATGAACCAGAGTTATTTTTAAAAAAGTTCTTAAAAAATAATTTTTTATAGAAAAACCATAAGCTAGTGTGAGGAGCTTAGGGCTTCTCCTTCAAGCTACTTTTTATTTTATTTTTTAATTATCACACGTTTTGTGGGAAATGCTTTCCCTTTGTCCCATAAATTTTAGGGATTAATGTTACCGAAGCAGCAGTACGTGTTTCGACAATCAGCTTTTGGGCACGAAAGATTTATCAGTCAAATCCCAAACAACTTTAGTTATTTCTTCTACCTTTATATTTTACAAATTTATTTTTAACTTTAGCTATAAAATAAATTTTTTTTTAAAAAAAAAACCGCAAAATAGCCTAATTTACATGAATATATCTACGTTAAGAAGTTGAAATGCATTAATTTAAGGTGTTTGGTAAGGTGTTAAGAAAGAATACTGAAAGTCTAATCTCTTTGCGTGAACTTAAAGCTTTGTTGGGGAGTTTTGAGGGGAAGGAAAAAAAGGGAATCTAAGGGAGAGAGAGAGGAAGGAAATTGAAGGGTATTTCCTTCCCTTGTTTGAGAACAAAAAAATGGTAAGGGAGAAAAATGGAAGGTTAATGAGATATTTTTATCATTTTACCCTTTTTAAAAATTAAAAGAATTATTATATTTTAAAAATTAAATTAAATTTCAAATTTCTAACAAAATTATTCATGTATTTTTCACAATACTAAAAAATCATATTTTCGATGAAATTTTTACGTTGCAAACGATAAAAATTTCGTCACAAAATTATTTTTTCGTCGGAATACTTTTCATCGAAAAGAGAAGGAATTTTTTCTCCGAAGAAATTTTTTACAAAAATAAATTTTCTATTCAAATTTTAGACGAAATTTAGTTTCCGTCAAAAAATTTGATGAAAATGATTTCCTCCATCAAATGTTTTAAATGAAAAAAGAATTCCGTCAAAAATTTTGACGAAATATTTTGTGTTCAAAATTTCGATGGAATGTGTTCTGATGAAAATTTCGACTAAAATTGTTTTGCCAAATTTTTTGAGAGAAATGTTTCATTCGAAACTTTTGACGAAATTTAGATTTTGCAAAGAATTTTGACAAAATATTTTTTCCGTCAAAATTTTTTATCGAAATATTTTTCGTCAAAATTTTTTACGAAAATATTTTCTGTTTGAAATGTTTTGACAAAAATATTTTCCGTTGAAAATTTTGATGGAAATATTTTTTTTATCAAAAAATTTGACGGAAATATTTTTAGTCAAAAATTTTCGATGGAAATGTATTTCGTTAAAAATTTCACCGAATTTTTTTTTGTCAAAAGGTTTAACAAAAATGTTTCTGTCAAAAAATTTCGATGGAAAAATTTTACGTCAAAAATTTCGATGATTATGTTTTTTTGTGAAATATTTTGACGAAATTTAGATTCCGTAAAGTTTTTTGACAAAAAAAATATTTCCTTCGAAATTTTTTACAGTAATGTTTTAGCACAAATTTTGATGGAAATATTTTTCGTCAAAAATTTATGCGAAAATTTTTGTTAGAAATGTTTTTCGTAAAATTTTTTGACGTAATTGTTTTACGTCGAAACTTTTCAATGGAAACGTGTTTCATCACAATTTTGGACGAAAATGTTTTTGTTGAAAGTTTTGACGAAATTTAGATTTTATCAATAATTTTGACTGAATATTTTTTCCGTAAAAAATTTATATCAGTGGTTATGGCAAAATCTGGTTCCGTCTTTAGTTTTGCTGGAAATTTTTTGACGTATATGATTTTCATCAAAAAATTTATCGCTACTTTTGACGAAATATTTTTCGTCGATAAATTCTGTCAGTATTTGAGACTTTTCTAATAATGTCACATTTTAAAATGTTTTAAATTTATGTAGTTTTCACATTTTAATGCTAAGGGTAGATAATGAATTTTTAATACTTTCTCCCTCAAACCCCCCAAATGGGGAGAACTTTAATTTTAAGAAGAATGAAGATTTTTCAGGGTTTAGTAAAATTCCCTCATTTTCCCCCCTCATTTTTTTTAACTCACAAATAAGGGAAGGACTTACTAAAATCCTCTATTTCCTTTCTTTCTCCTTCTAAAACTAACTTTCAAACAAAGCCTAAGTCGTACGGCAACCCATAGCAAAATAAATAATAAAACAAAAAATTTAATTGTGAGATATTGGTATTTGGACATCTTCATAATACATACTCATTACTGCATAATCACCATATAAAATTCGAAAAAAGTGTGTATTATTTTAAAGGATGTAAAGTTGTGTCATTTTAAATGAGAGTAAGCGATAGATAAAAGAGGAGAGAGAGTGGACGAAAAATATAAAGGTCTGGATCCCACCTATTTGTGAGAGTGAAATGACATAAGTTACGTCATTTAAAAGGACAAACACAATTACCATATAAAATTGAAGACTTGGAGAAACGAAAATTAAATAATTAATATAAACAGATAGGTAGCAGTAGATGGGATCCAGTCACATGATCAATTTGCAAAAAGAAGTTAAATTAAATTTCTTGACCGAATAATACAATTCCATTAGGAAGTTATTAAAATGATCGTTGTCAACGTGCTTGGCTTAATCCTTCATGAATTCATTTTTGTTATATATGAATAGCACATGAAAATGAAGACGTGCAGAGAAATGGAAATCTATATATTATTTTGAATAAATACATGCATAGATGGAATCAATCTACATATTTTTATATTGAATGACGAAAAGAAGCTAACATAAGCAGATTATGTCATGCTTAGTTTGCATCGTATAATTAATGATTAGTGAAGAATTAATTAATAATTATAATGCACTAACACAAGAAAGTAACTTAAGAATTGAAGGTGAACCCTAGCTCTAGCTATATATGTAGGTAGCTTTATAAAAGGGCATGAAGAGTTGAGCATTGATTCCCACCAAACACCCCAATCTAAATCCACAGGCAAAACATAATCAATCAGCATATATATATCTCTGTCTAAACTCACAATGTCTAGGAATATCTTAGCCGTTGTGAAGCCAAAGATTTTTCGGGAATACATTGGGGTGAAGGAAGAGCCGGATAGTTTAAATGATTTCCCTGATGAAATCATCAACTCCAAGATTGGAGAATTCCACTTCATTCTTGGATTTGCAATGGAGGACTATGACAACAATGGAAGAGGCACGGGAATATTCAAGCGGAGATGGAACTATGGATACTTCAGTCCTGAAAAGATAAAGAAACTGAAGAATGATCATGAGAATGAAGTGATCAAGGTGGTAATAAGCATTGGAGGTCGTGCAAGTGGTGACACCAAATATCCATTCAATCCTGCTGAGAAAGAAGTATGGATTGAGAAGGCTCAAGAATCGCTGAAAGAGATCATCAAAGACTACAAGGGTCAAATTGATGGCATTGATATTAACTATGAGAACATAGAGTCCGATGACTTTTCCCACTGCATTGGGAAAGTTATAAATGGGCTTAAGAATAAGGATGGAGTGATCAATGTGGTATCAATTGCTCCGTCATATCCTGTCCAAGCCCACTACAAGAAATTGTACATGGCTAACGGAAAAGATATTAACTGGGTTGATTACCAGTTCTATGATCAGATTGTGTCCACAAAGGTTGAGTTTATAAAACTCTACAGTGACCTATCAAATGTTTACGACAAAGAAAAACTGTTGGCAGGATTCAGCACCGATCCAAATGACGCAGGTAAGATATCACGAGAGGTCTTCCTTGAGGGCTGCAACGACCTCATCAGTTCCGCATCACTCCCTGGCATCTTTGTTTGGAATGCTAATGACTCCGCCCTCAATGTCATCTCCAATGATGTCCCTTTCTACTTTGAGAAGTTGGCACAACGCAAACTCACTGACTCTACATCCTAATTTGTATCCCTAATATTAAACCATATCTATCTATCTATGTTTTTCTCTATGCATGCAACGTACGGTCGGGTCGCAGACTATAATAAGCTAGCCCTACTAGTTATATATATAGTCTTTTCTAAATAAAGACCTTTTCAATTCCTCTGTGGCATTTCTTTTCTGAATAACATTTTTCATTTCCGGTTGTCTGCTCACTCATCACTTGTTCATTCTTTTCTTTTATTTTATTTTTTCCATGTCTTTAATTAATTTCCCTTTTCTCTTTTTCATTTCATCTTCTATATATCTACTTGATTCGTCGTATCAAAATCTGTTTTTTATTCATCACAATTCAATCTTTCCTCAATCATGCGCCTTAATTTCTTGACTGGCAAGCTCATATATATATAAGCTTCATCTTGTATATATAAATATATTATTTTTTAAGAAAATAATGGCAATTAAGAACCTTATTGAAAGAATATTTCGTCTTTGACATAAAAATGTTAAATTATTAGAAATGACTGCGCAAACATTTACCTTCTATATAAGAAGTTCCATTAGACTTCACCTAGTAGACAAAAACATCTTTTTACAGAATTTTATGTATGACTATTGCTTGTTATTTAGTGGTTGATCATTTATTCTCATTCGGTAGATAATAGTACTCATAAAAGAAGCTTGCTATATATATTTTAGATACAGGAAGTTTTTTATTTGTAACTACTAGTTACATAGTTTTGAATAAAGTTATATATTTCATTTATAAATTGCAAAGAAGTTTAGGAAAGCTCATTGCTTTTTATCGATTGATTATTTACTTTTACTCGGTAACTGACAGTTGCACATAAAATTTTATATTTAATCCAATAAATTAAAAATATATTTACACATGTCTATTACTTGTTAGCGAATTTACTATATTCGTACCCAAAGAGTAGTCAATAACAATACAAAAAAATTATATAGGTGAAAATAGTAAATTTATTAACCATCATTGGTTCAAGTGACAATTAACCCCTAATAAAGGTCTAAGAGTACTCGAACCGGATTAAACCAACTTAGACACTAAAAACAATAACAAATTTACAAAAATTATGAATAATTAGTGTTTACTACACTACTAGAAAAGGCTTGCTAGTGTTGCAACTTCGGTGTAAGAACCCGCACCATTAATTTAAGAATTTAATTAATTAATTATAAAATTAATGAAATAATTCCATAATTGACCCTAATAATTATGAGAAGGCTTAAATAATTATAGTAAGTGATTAATAATATTGAAAGTCGCTTTTCTGACGAAAAGTGCAGAGACCGATTCTGCCTCACGATATAAATGCGTACCGATGAAGTATCCCGAAAAATTATGAAAAATATGTGTATATCACTAGAATAATATCTAGGACTAGTATAACAAGTTTGGAGTCAAAATAACGAGAACTGGTGCCAGGACTAATACCGGGTACGTAAAAGCGCGTATCGGCAAAGTGCTGCAAAAAAATAAAATAAAAATACGACAAATCTTAGAAAACTGGCTAGGTTCAGAATCCAAAGTTTGGGATTAAAATGATAAGTGTAACTATTAGTGCTAATATAATGTGATTAGAATTAATACACTTATAAATAGAGGTGGCACATTGTTGGGAAATTCGTTCCCTCAAACTCCAATGTTAAGCGGGTCCAGGGGAAGCCCGTGGCGGGGAACCACCACCAATGAGCTAAGGCTATACCAACCGTAGCAAGTGGATCCGACACCATGTCTCAACCCAAAACCTTAAGGCATTGGGTTCATGGGTCCTTTCACTTATATACTCTTCACTTAGCTCATTACCAACCAATGTGGGACTCATCACACTTGAATATCTCAACAATCTCCCCCTCAAGTGTGAAACCCACCATTGGTATGCTCCCCCTCAACCGAGTACCCGATGCGTAAAGTACTCGACCCGCCTCCTAGCCAATCACTAGGCTAGCTCGAGCCCAATCCGGCTCTGATACCACTGTTGGGAAATTCGTTCCCTCAAACTCCAATGTCAAGCGGGTCCAGGGGAAGCCCGTGGCGGGGAACCACCACCAATGAGCTAAGGCTATACCAACCGTAGCAAGTGGATCCGACACCATGTCTCAACCCAAAACCTTAAGGCATTGGGTTCATGGGTCCTTTCACTTATATACTCTTCACTTAGCTCATTACCAACCAATGTGGGACTCATCACACTTGAATATCTCAACACACATGATCCTAGGTTAGGTTTTAGCATTTCTACGTAGCTTTTTCTGAAACTTTTGGGCCCTCCTCCTCCTCCAAAAAGTAGCCCAAGTGATCACCTTTCCTCCCATTTTCTTCATCTAAACACTTGGCTTGGTGTGGGTTAGCAATGTGAGGGAGAGAAGTGCTTGATTTCTGATTTTCAGCCACTGTCTTGGGAAGGTGTGGGCTGAGTTCCTTTGTGAAAAAAAGAACCATCTTGAAGCTCATTTTTGTGGACCTTTGTAGGCAGATTTGTGGACATCATCCTTATTAGAATATTCAAAACTAAAGCTAGAGTTTGCACAGCCCTTGAACAGTATGCCAAAGTTTACCCACGTCAACTTTAAAGGATCCATACGTCAACTTTTTTGGTTATCGCGCCATTACTTTTGGTATACTACCATTTTATTTGGATCGCGCAAGTATACTGGATTCATTATAGGATATGATCATGAGCTGAACTTGCTTTACATGGTTAAACTTTAAAGTTGTTGGGGACTTTACTCAAGGATCCAGTAACCAAACTATCTACTTGATCAAGTAGCCAAAATTTAGTGAGGCTGGATATCATTATTACGATGACAGAACTGCCAAAGGTTTATTAAAACAATGTTTTATAGAGCTGGAAGGTCCCATATGTCGCAATAAAAGAACTTGAAGGATGAATAATTTTAGGCTTATGATCACAGTATGGCACAGAAAGTTACATTACAGGTTTACAGTTATATAAGGCAACATGACCACCTAGTTGCAGGATGCTTTGAGTAAAAGTCAAATTAACAAAGTCTAGTCTGAGCACATCCTAGGCTTATGAATCATTTTTATGAATCATCCTAGTCCTGCTACAAGGGTTGAACTATGACAAACATAAAATAAAGGCCTAGCAGGCTATCATATATTGAATCTTCATGTGCCCCTTTCAGAAGGTATTATGAATGCTTACATCACTTTTTGATCATATATATGTACACATCACTTTTTGATCATAACTCTTGTGAGACTACATAAACTCAGAGGATGCTCACGCAGTACAAATCGTGACATATATGACTTATTTTGATAATCTTATGTCTCTGTTATGAAACTCATACAAGTTGTAGGGACTTATGGACAATAAACAGTGAAGATCTCAATCTCACTGAAAATGCAGATAGACTTAGAACAGTTTATCTGATTTATATGCCCTTATCTTGAGGTATCTTAACTACTTCTATTGTGAAATCCATGAGAGATTGCAGGGCTCCATGACTGCTAAAAAAAGAAGACAAAAATCTCACGTGAAATGCAGACTAAATCAAAAACAAATGCTACATTTCCTATCAGCAACATTATTATTTTAACATGATCTTGTTACAATTATCATCTCCATGATATGTTGTTATTATTCTGTGAGATTTATGGAAATTACAGGTTTAATTCACCAAACAGAAGAAAAGTCCTCCAAGTTAAAGCGCAATGAAGAACATTTTACGCGAAAATGACGAACCGACACTTGAATTGGCCTGTTGACAACCTAATGAGGCGTAACAAAATGAAAAAGAAAATTTAGAAAAATAAATCTCAAATTTACACTTGAATGGCCGAACC